GGACCATGTAGGAGTTTGACCCGGAGTATGTATCAGGTTAATCTGACGTTGCCTGACCCAGACATTAGATGGAAATTAATGCAAAGATATTCAGGCACAAGACATGTCTGTGGACTTGGCTTATGGTCAGTTATCTCTACATTTGGCATGGACATGAAAAAACTTGATATTAATTAAACAGACCATTTGTTGGAGTTCACTTTTAGCACTTTATGTGGTACATAATGTAGTCATAATGCTTTTTCTCTATGAATGTGAATGTCTCTTGGGTGGGTCATAATAAAAATATTCAAATTTTGAGACTGTTTATCCATAATATAGATACTGCACTTTTTGTAAACTAAGAAATTATTTCATATGTTGCACCAAGAAGTTGGGAAGCACAAAATAGGTGAACTAATGAGATTCCATTTCCCTATGTAAAGGATGAATAACTTATCTTTAAGGAAGTTGCCGAAATTTTGAACAATTCATAAAAGGTTTTAATGTGTGATTGGATGTCTTTGATACCCATGGATGAAAAATTGCAACAGTTCCACTTGAGAATGGAATTGAATTTTTATAATAAATCTATATAGCAACAATTATAGTTACTAGTAAATTGAGGGAAACATGTAGGTCCAACAAAATAATTTAGATTGATTTGTGCTGCCTTACTGGCTTGTTGGTAGAGGATTCTCATCAATGCCAGGCTACGATGGTGAGTTTTTCTTGGATGTGGGAAGCTCTCTTTTAGTTGCTCTGCAAGGAAGTAGGTCATACCTACTAGGGGCCATTGCAAACCCCCTTTCCTGAGGTGCAAATGCATGTCATCAGTTAATGTGGGAGTATAACTCAGAGTGGTAATTGTTAGTTCACTGCATAAAAATTACTCATAGACCTAATCATGTATCCCTGTAATGGTAGTGTATTGAGTGCACTCCTTAAGTTCATTAGGCTTGATTATCTTCAGCCTTCCTGCCTAGGTTAAAGCTAGCAAACTGATATACGAGTCATTCAAGGTTAAGTGGAACCCCATACCTTGGTTTGCACAGGTCTCTTATTCTTATATCATTCCCAATACATACTATGTTCTTTCTTAACTAATAATTTAAAAGCAAAGAATATTCCACAAAAATTCATGTCTTTATAGAAAACGTTTCAGAGACCAGCTCCATTGTCAGTTTGCAGAATCAGTAAAATGTGGTAAAGGGAGCAGTGAAAATTTTCACTGTTCCCTTTAACCACATTTTACTGATTTTACGAACTGATGATTGAGCTGGTCTCCAAATTGTTTTCTATAATGATATGAATTTATGTGTACTATTCATTGCTTTTAAATTTTTTAGTTAATTTTCAATTTAAGCAAACAAGTGACATAAATTCTTTATTATGTTCTTTCTTGTTGTGATTGCTTCATGATTATTTATTATTATATGATTTATATTAAACATGGTAAAAGACTGAATAGAAAGCTTGAGTAAGAAACTTGAACCATTGTTTTCCTGAACCCCATAGCAACAAATGCTGTCACGCACATTGCCTGGCCAGCAACGCTTTTGACTTAGTGTCACATAACACATATTAAAATGTAGCCAAGTTGTGTTCATCAAAAATTGTTGATATATCAAGATAACAATTGTGTATTTAAGTAACTTAGGACAAGTGAATTTTGTTGCAAATGTTGAAATTAAGGCCTCCTTTTGAGCCACTCAAGTGCACTCTGTACAATTTTCTTTATCCCTCCAATGTTATTTTCATTGCTGTTAACATTATTCACTAAAAAACTTTAACCTAATTTATTCCTAATTCTCATCACATTTGGTGATGACATCCAAAGAAAGCAGTGTTGCTCTGCACCAACTCTCCGATGCTGCAGTCAGGAGTGGCAGATGCCCTGAGCAGAGCCTCACTCAAGCGTCTCCTGGTAGCAGCAAAGTAAAGTCTGAAGGTAAGCCGGATTCCATGTGCCTCACAAATTAATTGTTATTATGCAAAGGAGGAACTGAGTACATGTAAATTTGTCAGATTTATTTCTCATCTGTAATTATTTGTTAGGAGTTTCAGTACAATACAGGGTCATCAATATTTAGTGTTACAACTTTGAGTGGTTAGAACTATGAAATGAAACACAATTGTGAATGTTTGAAAATTTATTTATGTAGGCAGAGGTTCAGAGATACAATTCCCGCAATTTCATTCAATATGTCCACCATCTGCATCAATAACAAGTTGTAGACGCTTAGAGAAAGCCTTACACGAGTCACGAATGACACTGTGCGGGATTTTGGCCCACTCCTTCAGCAGTTTGACTTTTAGGGAGTCCAAACTGCTATGGTGAACTTTCGAGACCTTGCTCTCAAGGTATGACCAGATCCCAAAATCCAGGGGATTCACATCGGGTGACGATGGGGGTCATTCATCTTTGGTAATGAAGTGGGGAACATTCTCGGACAGCCACTCATGAGTCGATTTGGCCCCATGGGATGGTGCAGAGTCCTGCTGGAACGGCCAGGGACGTTTTTTGAAGTGCTTTTGTGCCCAGGGCAACAATGCACCAACAAGGATGGCATCTTGATAGTTCTTCTGATTCAATTTCACCCCTTTGTCAACAAAAAAAGAGGACCCCTTGAGGACTCTGTTACGGCGGCCGATACCATCACTGAGGTCGGGCATTGCTTCCTAGTCACCACTCGGGATCCTTCGTCCCATTCTTCGACCAAATTCGATCATTTTGGGAGTTGAAGTGGTGTTCAACATTGAATATCTTCTCATCACTCAAAAAGAGGTTTGGCAGCATGCCATCATGAATGCGGGAAAGAAGAATCTTGGATCTTTGGAGGCGTTTGTCAACAACTTGAGCAGACAGTTGGTGTTTTTTGACATGCTTGAATGGGGGACAACTTTAGGTCCTTCCGGATAACAGTTAACATGGTTTCATACAACACATTTGACTGTTTTGCGAGTGTATTGATTTTGGAAAAACACTATCACGCTAAATATTGATGACCCTGTATTTGATAACAGTGTTGGAATATGCCAAAAGCTCACATGACTCATTAATATAGTGAGCATTATATTTGCTATGAGATATCATGCTCCATAGCCCAGTGGTACCAGCACACCAATGTATATATTTTCCAGCTTTGGAAAAGGTTGATCCTTTACCAGTCCTCAAAGTTCCTGCTATCTACATCAAGGAGGAACCTGAGAGTGAAACTGAAGAAGTATTCATCAAAGAGGAACCATTCTTAGATGGAAATGAAGTAAGTTGAGTTGATATGCAAATAAATGTTTGGCAAAGTATTAGAAATACCCACATAAATTTTCAATAAATGAACAGCAGGATGCTATTTATGTAATCAAATCTCTAAATTATGCATGAGGATACATATCTTAACCAAGTATTTAGTCTGAAATATTGAGCAATAATAATCAGGTATGAAGAACCCTAACCCTCATCCTGATTATCCCTCCAGTCCCAATTGGTTAGAAGTTGTGGGAAATTTGATTTATTATTACTTGCCTTAGGATTTATATTCTAAGAACAAACCCTTATTTTTGTCTCATAGTTGTCTGTAGTCAAATAACTATGATATGTGATGGCTTTTATTTTCCAGAAATAAAAATGAAATGTGGTGGCCACTATTGGCAGGAACCATGAAAAACTGTCCACATACAATGCAAAGAAAGAGGTGCTGAGAACATTTATGTATGCCAATTGGATTCAACAAAATCGCACTAAAAGTGCATTTGCTTCTGAAATCGCCACTCAATTTCATATTTACTTGCAAGCAAATGGCAAGCAAAATCTTTGTATGGCAAGATTTTGAAGATATGGCAAGCAAAATCTTTGTATCATGAAGCATCAAAATGAGGAAACGTTTTACAGCCTGTAATTTTGATGCTACGACATCCATATGGTGTTGAGGAAATTTGGAACTTGCAGATAATTCTATGAGAAGTTGTACATTACATCCTATCTAAAAATGCACGTATCACTGTCAGCCACATTAATATTTTCCTCCACTTCGCTTCTCCCCAGGCCTCTTCAAATCAACATCTTCCTGGTGTACCATGCAAGACAGAAGCAAAAGTTGAGACTCACGACGCCCATCCAAACTCCTCACAAAACATTTCTGCTTTGTTGTTGAATCAGGTATATATACATAATTTTAGCTTTCACTATTATACACTATAACTGAAAATTTTGAAACATTTTACCAGTTCCTTAAGATGGCAAATGTTTCAATTTATTGTGGGTATTTATTAATGATAAAATTGATGACTTAATAGGTGCTGGTAGTGACACCAGGAACAAATGTCATTTTCCCAATGCATTTAATCCTGCTAGTGAAACCTAACAATTTTTGGTCTTCAAAAATATATGACAATTGATTTCCCCTAAGCAAGGATCTAAACCTAGAACAAAACATTTAGTTCAGAAGGAAGATGAGGGAATGCACTTGAACCTGTTACATTAAATGTAATATCCTTACACTACTCATGTATCTAAGATCACATCCAAGAACGGATGGAATGGGTAATAATTAACACCACACAGCATGGGAATGGAAAATGGATTGCTTGGGTCCATGGTATGAGTTGATGAATCACTCTGGTTGCATTGGTGTGCAGGCTGTTGCTGGCCGGCTTAAGAGTAGTGCTGGTCATGTTGTATCTGACTCTGGAACAACCTCACTGTATTGCTTGGATACGAATTCTTTAATTTAGGTAAACAACAAGCTAGAAGGAAATCCATTAAGCAAAAAGATATTGCAGAAAAATTCAAATTCAGTGTGCATGACATGAAAAGTAGAACAAATACAAAAGCCCCAGTGTAATAGTGTTTGATGCCCATGCTACAAGAAGAAAAAAACTTTAAACAGCTGGTGCTAACGTTCGGGAACGTCAATTTTTTGTTAACTTGAGTCTGAAAACAGTCACTAGATTTAATAAAATTACAGTTGAGAAAGTACAAACTATTGTTAGATTCAAGCTCCATGGTAAATTTTATTAAATTATGTTGCAAGTTTAGGTGATCAAAGGCAAGTTCAACATGAGAGGGTTGCTTGAAAATAAGGAAGGTGTTATTGACAAATCTGTTGTAAAACATTTGCTTAAAATCAAGAAGGCAATTGGTAAGCCAAGCAACTTTTGAATGCAGCCTTCAGCTCTTATCCACAAAAAATTGCAAATAGATAGGTTATGCCGTTTTTTATATTTCATATTTTTACTTTTTTACTCTGTCTTTTGTTTGTAAATTTAGATTTTAATTTCTGAGTTTTTTTCATTTTGTTTGCATTAACTTCTGATTTTATCTGTGTTCAAAATTTTTTTAACTGACAATGGAGCCGGACTCCAAAACATTTTCATTAGGGATATGGTGAATTTGTGTTGAATTTCCTTCTCTTTTAAATTTGTAAGCATTTGATATTCAGAGTGGAGAAGTTTTTTGGCTGTTGTGTTGCAGCAACCAGTTATTGTATGCAAGGTGATATTTTGAACTGTTTGTAGGCCAGTGGAGTTAGTGGAAGAGGAGATAGGAGGCCAGATTGATCAAGCATAGTTGATTATGAGATGATAGATAGGTTACTAGGTTTGTTGTTGGTGTTTGTAGACCTGGTAGTGTCCATTTGGTGCTCACGAGAGGGTTTTTTAGTATGTCATCCCATTTTAAGGCTTTAGCTGCTGTGACTTTTGGTGGTCGGTGAAAGCGAGCATGACATCAAAGATTAGGCAAGGATTTTCGGGTTGTATTCAAGCATAAGGTGTTGGTTATTGATTTTGACATGAGGGTGGTAATGGCTCTAGGACGTTTGTGGTTTTATAAGGTTGAGTGCATATTTAGTGATAGTGATGTTGAGGCTTTGGTGAAGAAGTTGTGTATTGTGAAGAAGTTGTGGTGAAGAAGTTGTGTGGTGAAGGTGAAGAAGTTGTGTCTATAACCCCATTGAAAATCATATTCCAAATTTAAGTAATGAATGTATGTGAAATAATATAAAATTATTGTGCATCTTATCTAGGTATTCTACATGAGTAGTAATTTCCATTAAAGTTTTATCAGCATTAAATCAAAGCCATAATCTATGACTGAAGTTGAGACCCAGTAATGGTAGTTCTATTATATGCTTAGGCAAAGTATTAATGTTGAGTAATCTATTCATAAATCAGAACATACTGGGCAAAAGTTTATAGATTTGTAAAATATTTGTTACAAGTTTGAATTTCTGTTGAGACAATTAAGAGATTTAAATAAGGATCAACACTTGAAAGTATACAGTTCTGTGGCTGTTATTAATATAGGAAACTGTTTTACTTTGTAATTTTTTCATTAGTTTGGCGAAGGTGGGTCAGCATCTAACCCATCAGGAGACGCTGCTGGCGACGCTGGCATCTCTGGGGCGTCCAACTCCAAGCAAAACATAGAAAAATCGTTCAAACATTCAGCAGAAAAATCTTTGCAGTGCTCCAAGTGTGATGCTTGCACCACAAAAAGGAACTTGAAAATTCATTCGCTCTCAAAGCATTCAGAAGTAAAACCTTATCAGTGCTCTGAGTGTGATTATGCTTCCCCCTTAAAAGGAAACTTGAAAAAACATTTTCTACAGAAGCATTCAACAGAAAAACCTTATCAGTGCTCTGAGTGTGATTATGCTTGTTCCACGAATTTCCTGATGAAAAGACATTTTCTTAGGAAGCATTCTACTGAAAAACCTTTTCAGTGCTCCAAGTGTGATCATGCTTGTATCACGAAATTTGACTTGAAAAATCATTTTCTTTCCAAACATTCAGCGGAAAAACCTTTCCAGTGCTCCAAGTGTGATTATGCTTGCACCACAAAAAGGAACTTGAAAAGTCATTTTCTTCACAAACATTCAGCAGAAAAATCTTTGCAGTGTACCGAGTGTGATTATGCTTGCACCACAAATAGAACCTTGAAAAGGCATATCCTCTTCAAACATACAACAGAAAAACCTTTTCTGTGCACCGAGTGTGATTATGCTTGCACCACAAAATGGGATTTGACAACACATCGTCTTCGCAAGCATTCAACAGAAAAACTTGTGCAGTGCACCGAGTGTGATTATTCTTGCACCTCAAAAGGGCACTTGAAAAGTCATTTTATTCACAAACATTCAACAGAAAAACCTTTTCAGTGCTCCAAGTGTGATTATGCTTCCCCCACAAATGGGAACTTGAAAAAACATTTTCTACGCAGGCATTCAACAGAAAAAGACCCATCTTTGCTCTAAGTGTGATTATATTTGTGTCGACAATGCATGTTTGAACAGCATCTGCTCTCCAGAGTCCATCAGAAACTGCTTCAGTGACCCAGGTGTGAGGATGCATGTTAATGTAGGAAGCTTGACACAGGAATCAAGTGCAGAATATTATCTTTTGGGGCAACAGGACAAAGCTATGTAGAGTACCTAACTCAAGGCACTCACTGACACCAAGGATGAGAGGCTTAGCCGTTTATTGTTCCTCGAAGTTGGCAGTCGCTTGTTACAGCGTGGATATGAAATAGAACAATGAAGCCAAGATGACACCGAGCATAGATGCTCAGTCATAGCAGTCGTAACGTTAATATTTGAATAAGATTGGTCTTGTACACAGAAATAGTATATTAAATAGGTATAGGGGTTGTTATAGACATCTCAGTGCATAACAGAATTTTCTAAAATGTGTTGTGTGAGCTCGGATTTCGTTTGAATATAAAATGAAACTTTTAATGGTGATGGAGTGGACCATGTAGGAGTTTGACCCGGAGTATGTATCAGGTTAATCTGACGTTGCCTGACCCAGACATTAGATGGAAATTAATGCAAAGATATTCAGGTGCACAAGCCATGTCTGTGGAAATGGCTTATGGTCAGTTATCTCTACATTTGGCATGGACATGAAAAAACTTGATATTAATTAAACAGACCATTTGTTGGAGTTCACTTTTAACACTTTATGTGGTACATAATGTAGTCATAATGTTTTTTTCTCTATAGAATGTGAATGTCTCTTGGGTGAGTCATAATAAAAATATTCAAATTTTGAGACTTTTTATTCATAATATAGATTCTGCATTTCTTGTAAAGTAAGAAATTATTCCATATGTTGCACCTAGAAACTTGGAAGCACAGCATATGTGATCTAATGAGATTCCATTTCCCTATTTAAAGGATGAAAAACTTATCTTTAAGAAAGTTGCAGATAATTAGAATGATTCATAAAAGTTTTTAATGTGTGATTGGAAATCTTTGATCTAAATGGGTGAAAAATTATGACAGTTCCACTTGAGAATAGAACTGAATTTTAATAATGAAGCTATATAGCAAGAATTATAGTGACTAGTAAATTTAGGGAAAACTGTAGGTCCAACCAATGATTTAGATTGATTTGCACTTCCTTACTGGCTGGTTGGTAGAGGATTCTCATCAATGACAGGCTATGATGGTGAGTTTTATTGGATGTGGGAAGCTCTCTTTAAGTTTCTCTGCAAGGAAGTAGGTCATACATACCTACTAGGGGTCCTAGCAAACCCCCCTTTCCTGAAGCACAAACACATGTCATCAGTTAATGTGGGAGTATAACTAAGAGTGGTGATTGTTAGTTCACTGCATAAAAATCACTCATAGACCTAACCACGTTTTGCTGTAATGGTAATGGATTGAGTGCACTCCTTAGGTTCATTAGGTTTGATTATCTTCAGTCTTTCTGACTAGTTTAAAGCTAGCAAACTGATATACAAGTAAACCCCATGCCTTGGTTTTGCACTGGTCTCTTTTTCGTGTATCACTCCCCTGTGCATACCGCATACTATGTTCTTTCTTGTTTTTATTGCTTCATGAAATACACAGTAAAAAGTTGAATAGAAAGCTGGAGTAAGAAGGTTGTATTTAGTGTCAAGAACAGAATATTAAAATGTAGCCAAGTTGTGTGCATCAAAGATTGTTGAGACATCAGGCAAACAATTGTGTTTAAATAACTTAGGACAAGTGAATTTTGTTGCAAATGTTGAAATTAAGGCCTTCTTATGAGCCTCTATTGTGCTCTGTACAATTTTCTTTATCCCTTCAGTGTTTTTCCCATTGCTGCAAACATTATTTACTAAAAAAATTTAACCTAATTTATTCATAATTCTCATCACATTTTGTGATGGCGTCCAAAGAAAGCAGTATTTTGCTGCGCCTACTCTCCAATGCTGCAGTCAGGAGTGGCAGATGCCCTGAGCAGAGCCTCACTCAAGCGTCTCCTGGTGGCAGCAAAGTAAAGTCTGAAGGTAAGCCCGATTCCATGTGCATCACAAATTAATTGTTATTATGCAAAGGAGGAACTGAGTTCATGTAAATTTTTCAGATTTATTTCTCATCTGTAATTATTTCTTAGGAGTTTTGGTACAATATTTGACAACATTGTGTTGGAATATGCCTGCCACCTCATGTGTCTCGCTCATCTGAGTGGTATTACCATTTTTTTGAAGCTCACATGACTCATTAATTCAGTGAGCATTATATTTACAATGAGATATCTTGCTCCATAGCCCAGGGTACCAGTACACCAATGTATATATTTTTCAGCCTTGGAAAAGGTTGATCCTCCACCAGCCCTCAAAGTTCCTGCTATCTTCATCAAGGAGGAACCTGAGGATGAAACTGAAGAAGTATCCATCAAAGAGGAACCATTCCTATATGAAAATGAGGTAGGTGGAGTTAATGTGCAAACAAATGCTTAGAAAAGCATATGAAATTACAACATAGATTTTCACTGAACATTCCTGTTCAGTTTCCAAATCAGGTATGCATATATAGGTAATTTATGATTTCTCAAATTTACATTGAACAATAAATTTTTTAGAGATACTCCCATGTCATTTTTCACCACCATTGTTTCTTTTTATTGTTGACAGTATTGTATAAAATAGACACCTAGCAAGTACTGGTAGAGATACTAGGTACACATGCCATTTTCCCTGTACATATCAGTCCAGCTTGTGAAATTATGATTTTATATTTTTAGAAATATATGGCAGTCCATTTGATTTCTCCTTAGCATGGATCAAGGATTTGATATTCAGAGTGAAGATCTTGTTTGCTGTTTTGTTGTGTCAACCAGTTATTGCTTGCAGTTTGACATTTTGAACTATTTGGAGGTGCCGATTTGGGGGAAAGTGATAGGGGTCCATATTGGACAAGCTGTCAATCGTGGGAGAACAGATGGTTTAGTAGGTTCGTAGTACAGGTAGTCCTTGTCATGTCCATACAAGTTCCTATGAGGGCTTTTGGTATGTTATTGCTTTTTGAGGTTTGAGCTGTGGTAATTTTTTGTGGGCGGTGAAAGGGAACATGGCATGAAACATTTTAGGTTGTGTTCAACCAGAAGAAGTTGAGTTATATATTTTGACTTGAGAGTGGCAGCAGTACTGGGATGTTAGTGGTATTATGAGGGTGGTTGTCAATTTGGTGCTTTAGGTTTCCAGGTTTTGATGATTGAAAAAAGTGCTGTCAAAGTGTCATTGGTAAAATCATAACCCTAATGGAAATCAGTTTCCAAAATTAAAAATTATATTAATGAAATAACGTAGCTGTTATTAATATGCTGTACTTGTACTGTAGCTGTTATTAATATGCTGTAATGTAGCTGTTATTAATATGCTGTACTATAGCTGTTGGTAACATGAGAGATTGTTTTACTTTGTATTTTCATCATTAGTTAGAGAAAGGTGGGTCAGCACTGGCAACAGCAGACGCTCATGGCGACGCTGGCGTCTCTTGGGCGTCCAGCTCCCAGCAACACATCAAAATTGGATGTCCCCAGCGCGGGTTGGTGTCTGCAGGTGCAAGCAAACTACAGCAGAACATTAATCTGGAACATCCTGCTTCAGGACCCCACCGCTTCTGTGAAGACTCCTCTAGTTCAGGGAGTGGACTAAAGCAGCACATTGATTTAGAACATCCTGTTTCAGGACCCCACCGCTGCTGTGAAGACTCTTCTAGTTCAGGGAGTGGACTACAGCACAATAATGCTTTACATTCGACAGAAACATCATTTAGGTTCCCAGACTGTAAAAAGTCCTGTACCTGTCCAGTAAACAATCCAAGAAGTAAACACCAATGCAGTTTCTGTTTAAATTTGTGTACCACTGAAGCTGATCTCAAACAGCATATGTCCAGGCAACCTCAGAGAAATGCACGGAAATTCACTCTAAGTAAATGCGCTGATGGTCACCTTTCTAAACGTTCATCAGTGAAGAAGTTTTGTTGCTCCCAGTGTGATTGTGCTTTCACAAGAAAAGGGAACTTGAAAAGTCATTGGCTCTCAAAGCACTTAAATGAAAAATTTTTTCAATGCTCCAAGTGTGATTATGCTTGCACCAAAAAAGTGACTTGAAAAGACATTGTCTTCGCAAACATTCAACAGAAAAACCTTTTCCGNGCTTGAAAAAACATTTACTTCAGAAGCATTCAACAGAAAAACCTTTTCAGTGCTCCAAGTGTGATTATACTTGCACCACAAAAGGAAACTTTAAAAGGCATTTTTTTCGGAAGCATTCAACAGAAAAACCTTTTCAGTGCAC